TGTATCGCCACATGATACTCTTAAAATGGTAAAAAAATCGCAAGAATTTGAAAATATTATGGTTTTCAATTACCAACAAGTACCTATATATAAAAGTTTCAAAAATCAAAGTTTTAATTAATGTATTATTGAAGTAAAATTTGGGACTAGCATGCATGGTCCAATGATCCCTGTATATTATATTATGTATAACGCACCCATCAAGCATCGTTTCGGGACTTATAGGAATATTATATTATTTAGTTTTATCAAGTTTTAACCGTCAAGTGCGTACATGTGCCTAATACGAAATCGATATCTTTCCACTTACCTCGTCCGCCGATCGCCGTCTCCTGCAGTACCAGCCAAACCAAAATCCACCAAAATCCACCGTCGATCTTTGTGTCCGGTCACTATAAGTATATTATAATACTCGTACGATATAATATAGTATTACCAGCTATGTTTGGGTAATGTGGTATAATATTTTTATGGGCGGTGATTCGTAAAATATATATTAAGACTTATTGACTCGTATGATATTAATATGTGGCTCACGCGTCAAAACGATAGCAAAATCCTTTGGTGCACACTGCACATAACTAATGTATACTTGTCGCATAACGCACACATTGTTGTAATATATGCATTTAATGTAAATGCGCGAAGAGGAATAATAACATGACACGTGTATGGAAGGGAAAAGAAAACGGTGTTTTTAACATACAGTGTTCCAATACAATTTCAGTTATCTTTCAAAGCAATTTTACCATAATATTTTTTTTTTTTGTGTTTTATACATAAATTATTGGATAAAAATTAACAACTACAATTATTTTATCTTATTATTGCTACAAGGAACCAAAATTATGTATATATTATTTATAATATATATATAATTTTTTTAACCCATTGAAACGCATAATATTTTTGGTAATATCGTTATAAGCATATCTAATTTTATAGAATAAATAGTAGTTATAACATTAAGTAAATGGACGGTCATTATTTTTGGTTAAACAAAAAATAAATAATAAATAAATAAATAAAACATAAAAAAAATATACACACGATTAAGTGTTACTTATATAAAATAAAAGTAATACATATGGAACATAACAAACATCACAACCTTTAGCCTTAATGAAAAAATCAATCACATAAATATAATAATATATACAATTAATATAATACATATAAACGTCGCACCTAGTTTGTAAAATCTTTTTTTTTAGTGAAGTGGACTTATTTTTCGTACCTATATATATCGTGAATTATGCGTTTTTTATACACACGGATGATCAATAATATTGTGTACGCGTTAAGAAATAACTTTTATTTTTGTACAATAGTAGTCTGTAGTTTTCACGAAATTCATATTATTTTTTCTTCAAAATCGTATAAAAAAAAATATTTTCATGATATGGACGTCCTATTGTGTAAACCTACCCATTTCAATTTTAGAGTATATATACCTACTAGAAGTTAGAACTGTACGTCTGTACTTATATTATTTATTAATAACATATGATTATTTTAGGTAGTAAATTAAATTATTCATACACATTTTATTTATTCAAATTGTTGTAACACATAATTATATGATACAATTGTCTATTGTACAGTATAATTTTTTTTTCTTAAAATTAAATCACATATTTAGTGTATAAAATTAAAATCCTTATCACGTATATGGATACTTTTCACTAAGTCGGTGCGACATTTATATATATATAATACGTAAACAAAACAAATAAAATAACTTAGAATTTAAAAGTTAACAAGTCTAAATAGCCCTTATATTATTATAAATTTAAAAATGTATTTACTCTATCGTATAATTTCATAAATTAGCTATTTAACTAAATATGCAGCTATATTATATTTTTGTTTAGTGTTATATTATAGCGATGAAAAATAGGGGTAGCAATAAAGTTAAGTTGCACATTATTATATTATTATATACTATACTTATGTATAGTAATAATATACACACGGGTATCTAACGTAAAGCTTCGTTTCGTATAAAACATTTTATTATGTATGAATGTATAAAAAAAATTGTCGAGAAAAAAAAGTTTAAAGAATTATATATTGTATTCATCTAGCCGTGTTTGTTGTAGAATGTGCTCGGGTTAGTGCCGCTGTCCAATGTTCAGTTACATCTGTCAGTCAAATGAAGAACAAAAAAAAAAATAAATAAATAAATAAATAAAATAAATAAACGTCGGAATCTGTGTGTAAAAAAAACTTGTACATTACGTACACACAAAAGACAATAAATCTTTTGTTTCTTTTTTTATTTTCCTTCTTTTTTTCGTAAGACGAAATTTTGCAGTTTGAAATAGAATTGAATTTATAATGAAGTTTCGGTGTTTGGGTTTCTCGGAATCCCGAGCAGCAACAATATTTTTTTTTCAGAAATTTTTTTTCGTACTCACAAAATTATGCGTTTTTTGTATTTTAATCATCAAAACTATCAATATACAATTTATATACAATATGTAATATGTATGTATACTCAACTCTCCTATAACTAATCAAAATATTATTGAAATCTCAACCGAAGAATGTTTTCTTATCCTCGATCGTATTTTTCTTATTCACAAGGACAATTTACAATAATATTAAACAGGCACAGCATTCGTAATGCTAGATTATTCGTAACCAGGTATCTGATGAAGGTTTTCATGTTAAAATCATAATGAAATGATGTTTTCAAATGATTTAAAAAAATATTTGTATCATTTGTGAAATATCAAATATGTTATACATACCAGATACCTATATAATCGATCGAAACACATATGCAATTTAAGGACTCGATAATAACTATATAATTAGTTTTGAAACCTAAAAATATATATTTATCAACATTCACGTTGGTAGGTATATATTTGTACATTAAATTATCATATTATAGGTATTCACGGAACTTTAAATCACAAAAATAATTTTCAAAAATACTATCATTGCCCTATTTTATTTAACAAAATAAATTTAGTTTATGCTTTATCGACTGTTTAGTACTAGGTAGTATTTTAAAGAAAACCACTGAAGATAGCAAAAAGAAAATGCTGAAGAAATATTTTAATATAATACAGAGAAGTATAGGTATTCAAGGTGTAAGAAGATCTCTGCTGACAATATTAATAGTTGCTATATAATAAAGAAAACTATCCAGCATAAATCATAATTGCCTACCTATAATTAAAAAATAACTAAATACATTGCCTGTGTTGAAATTATCTTTTTATTTTTTTTTAATACTTTTGAGATATTATTGGTTCCTTTTACACAGTTTTAGTAAAACGATTCCGTTTGTTACAAGTAATCGTCTGGTAAATTTTTTTTAATATAAATTAAAGGATTTGCGTTTACTTATGGATTATAATTGAGTGTTTCTAAGCATATTTTTAATACCGCAGGTACATTTTTATTGGATATTTGTGGTTGTAAAATGTCGTGACTAAGACCACGTTACCACGATTTACTTACCGATATAACAGCATATTATTGTGTCAACGCGTCACTAGCCGAAATTATTTGTGTCATTTCCAATGGTGTTTTGTTTCTTATTTTGTTTTGAATCTGCAAACAAAAATCCACACCCCCACCGTGTACTGTATACGATCAAACTGCAAAAAACATTAAACAATAATGATCGGTATAATGTCTATTTATAACAAATAAACAATACATCGATGGTATAATGTACTAAGTACATAATGCGTTGTTAATCGTATATTGTTATGAGATTTCTCTTCAGTTTAAGTAGTCATTTGTGGACAATTTCGACGTGCAAATAAAAATAATTAAACACAGTTGGATGCAATATTTGATTTATAACGAATAAAAATAAACACCCAGAGGCCGGGAAAATATTTAATAAAATACGCAATATTTGAATTATTTTGTTCTCAAAAGTAATGGATATATGCAGTAAAAATTTAATTTAGTTCTGCAAAGAAAAATATGTTTAAAACAATATATTTTTACTTAAAACTTAAATTTAATTTTACTGATTCTGAGCGAAAGGAGGATAAAAATGAAAATTCACAATATAATATTATAATATTATGATGACGTTCGGTTAGATGTGTATAAAATAATTGTAGAAGTATTTCATAATATTATATCTCTATTAATGTTTGAAAATTTCAATCTCGACTATTGACATTTTTTAATTATTGCCATTTAACATACTTTAATAGAATGTAAATATAAATTCTTGACGATGGTATTATATTTGGCAACACTTAATTAAAATGTCAAACACCTATACATAACTTACAATCGTAAAAACGTACAAGCCCTTAATTTGGAAATTAACTATAATTGTTTTACTTGAAAATTTACTTGGCTTTTCTTTATAAATGTAAATGGAACATTTGTATAATACTTACACAACACATAAAAATCAAAAATATTCACTCGTAATTACGTTTAACATTTTAAAATACTCTAATGGCCCCCATGCTCCACTCAGAATCGTTTTCCAAATAAGGCGATTTATTATTGCTTTCAAATTAAAAATAATAATAATAGTGTGTTTTTTAATTTATTTTACTACATTCGCGTTAGGTGGAACGAGGCCATTAAATTAGCGTATAATGCACAGTCACAGTTCATAATACTGTTTAAAATTATATTGCCAACAAATTGTTATGCATTAATAACTGAAGAGTGAAGGTGTATTATAACGCACTTATCGATATTGTCACAAATTTCAAAGCTAAGTTTTTGTGAGTTCATGTTATTATAAAATCCCGTGTTAATAAAAGCGTCTAATAATGTGAACCCTAAATTGCGTTAGTAAAAATATATAATTATGTTATTCAAAGCAAAGTAAGAATAATTGTTAATAATCGGTATTTGTTTTTAACTTTTGTATTTATTTGTTTTTTTTTGTTTAATAAAATCTTTACCTTTCGTGTGTTTGGGAGCGATTCAAATGACTCGTCCAGTTCATGTGTACAATGTACGTAACAATTGTTGGGATAAATAGTTTTTTTTACACATCATTCACCCGCCACTTCCGAAAGAGGGGTAAAAAGCGAAAATAAAACATAATGCAGCGGTTGATCGTTGGCTAAAAAAATTATATAAATTTGTTCCGTTCCTTGGTAACTGTATCGCAGTATAACTTGGCAAAGAATATAGGAAGCTTATACCACACAAATGTACCAAAAAAAAGAATTCGTAAAAATAATAATAATATTAATCATAATAATAATAATAATATAAAATAATAATAATAAAGCGAAATAAAAAGACTGTTCACCGTTTTTTTTATCAGAATACTGTACAAGTCATTTTATTTACACAATAATGTATTATCAAAAATAAATAATTAATAAAGTATAAATAAATAAATTAAAAAATAATAATTATAATCCGCAAAATGATTCGTGAATTTGTTTCAATTTTACACGTAAGTAAAATTCATATAGGAGTTGTGACTAGATGTAAGTGATCCAAAATAATAATTATAATAATAATAATAATAATAATAATAAAAATAAATAATTTTTGATAAAAAAAAAAAAAATGATATATAATATACAAATGGTATATTATGTACAAAAAAAAATTACTTTGATTATAACACTTTCGGCCCAGAAAAAAATTTACTAAATTTAAAATAAAAATCTTTGGTAAAAATTTTGAATAAATTTCGATAATTTAAAAAAAAATAATATATATATATTTATATATATAATATGTATATATTAAATTTAATTTGCAAATATAATATAAACCTAACAATAATAGGATCCGGACAAGCCTAGTTTACAGAAATAAGTCAAAGACGGGGCATACATACTGCTTTTGTTAACAATGTCTTTGTTCTCACACCGTTGACCCTTGAAGCCTTCGGCGCACCTGAAATTTGAAAAGCTCTGTTTTTATTTCAATTTAAGACTTGATTTTATTGAAAGTCCAACGAAATAAAATTACTTATATCGTTACAATATATTATTGTAAGTCTATTTACCTATTGGCTATTACCTATACAATATTATACTATAAAACATGTATGGTACAGATATATTTTACAATGTAAATAAAATATCATGTTCAATAAATAATGTATAATATATTCTACTTACTGGCAAACGAGCTCTCCGATGGTTTCGTAGAACGTACAAGTGCCCCCGTTCAGACAATATACGAGATCTGCTGGACAGGGACCGCCGACCAACGGCCACAGGGCTGTTGCTGCAAAACGAAAGAAATATAAGTATATAATAACGCAATAAGTAACGGGAAAACCAATTGGATTGCATTGTTATGTGCAGCGAGGCAATTTTTTACTGTAAACATCTGCTGCTGCGTCGTGCATAATATTATGCTTTTGAAACTAACATTTTGGCAAAACGCACTTTTACCATGACACACTTTTCAGTGTTACATAATTTGTCAACGAGTTAAAACAGATTTTTATTGCATCAAAAGCGTCCTGATCATAGATATAGAATTTCATATTATGGAACGATTCGGAATTAAAATTTATATAAACGGTTTTTTTTTGTTTTTTCTTCCTACGAGTTATAATATACCTAATATTATATTATATTATTCAATGTGGAACTGGAAACAATAAAGTTTTCATTTAATTATTCAATAAACACTTTTCTAGGTAGAAGGAGCGTGTTCCAAAAGATCTGAGTAAGTATGTGATTTAATACTATTATACGTATTTAGTGTTTTTATAGTATTCTTATATTAATTACTATTATCGATCAAAAATTGAACATTGGAGATTCAAAAAGTAATTTTCAATTATTACTTTGAGTAAAATAAACCATCAAAGATGTACCTATATTGAAGAAATTAAGTAATTCAAGTTATCTTAGCTATAAAAAATAGCTTAGCAAAGTACTGTTTATAGATTCTGTATCCGATATTTAAAAATATGATACTATAATTACATTTACATGAAAGTTTTTAAACACATCTTTATCCATAAGAGTGTTAACAGAAGAAGATATTTACAACACGCGCAACTGCGTATAAGTAAACGCGTCGTTATAAGACAGTATTAGTACCACTCATTCGTCACTTTCATATTTTATATCGTCAGAAAATCGTATAAAATTACTAAGCCAAACGGGGGTATATTTATTTGAGTTTAAATTTTTATTATGTTTACTAATGACAATCGTTAAGATTTATTGGGATGTAGAAAATATATATAATTGGGTCGTTCCAAACATAAGTAAAATTTTTTATAGTCAAAAAAAATAATTAATATTATATTATATAGGTACACTTAATAAGTGAATCGGCGATAGTGCCACGTGTTTCTTACAAGGTGAATAATGTATATTTTATACTCGTATATCGGTACCTACTATAATATAGGAAATAGTAGAGTGCGTCCGGACTAAAAGGCTGTTCTGATTTGCAAAACAGTAGGTGTAATGTAATAATGTATATACCTAGTTGATATTACGAAAAAAAAATAAATAGAAAAAATACGCAGAAACTCGAAATAACGAATAATGTTGTATTATTATTATTATAACGCGTGTAATAATCGTACACATGGGGTCAATAGCCAGTGGGTCATAAGGATTATTTTTGCTTGTAGCGCAAAAAAAAATATATTGATAGTTTTAAACAGTAAAATATCACCCGATAAATAAAATAAAATTATTAATAGGTAAAATATTATACTATGTGGCTACTAAAATAAGTGTAATTTATCGTAGGCACTATATAGGTATAGTACGAAGTATAAACTGTAATTTATTCATTGCCTACTTATCAGCGGCGATAATCACGTTGGCATTTTTATTTTTATACCTACCTACTTTAATTTTTTTAATAATAACAACAACGCCGATGATGACGACGACAATTTATGATGATTGTATATAGTTTATAATAATCGGTACTTTATACCAACGGAAGATAAAATAATAATAATTAGTTGCTTGGTGTGTCACGGTCCGTACACTCAACTGCGGAAATTCTCCGAGTGTAAGTATCGGGGACCTGGTGTTGCTACTTGCTAGCTCCCGGATGGGTGACCACCCGGGATTTTTACATACAAAACGTGTTTCAACCAACCGTTCTAACCGTTCCTCCCCCCTACAAACAAAAAAACAGCTAAAGGACATAGTTGCCGTGTTTAAGATCAATAATAAAAATAATAATAATAACTAATAGTTGTCTCAAAATCGTACTACTTATAACATATTATTATAGTACTTTTTTGTCCTTATATTTTATATTCTGAATTTTGTATTCATAATAATACTTTTTTGGTCCACCGATATAAACAAAATTGGCTAGGTACCTACTTCTATTTTAAATTAATAATATTTATTGACAAATGTTTAAATCAATATTAATCATCATGCCCAATTTATAAACGATTATTCATTACTATTTCTTCATCCCTAAAACTTTAATACATATTTTAAACGAAGCAAAATATTATATAGGTACCTTCAATCTTCGTATCAAATATAGATGATTAGGCAATAATTTATTGTTGCAAGCTCAAGTATTTTAATCATATATTACATTATACGTCATAAAGTATCTACAATCTACATGTATACCTATTATTTTATAATATGAGTTCTCGTTGACATGGTCGAATTATAAATACAAGTTCTGCGTAATATTATTTATATTAGTTTTAAATCATTGAAATTATTTAGAACTGAAAGATACTCTTTAGTAACAGTGCATGTGTTGTACATAAATTGTATATTCACAAGGCTATAGCCTGTAAGTTAAGATGAAAATTAGACAACATTATTGGTTTGGCAAAAGAATAATATTCTGTTATTTGACAGCGGTCGATGAAACAATTACATCTTAAATACCAACTATAGTTTATTCTCATTTATAAATTAATTATAGTTGTAAATTATAACACCATAAGTGGAAACACACGTTCGCTAAAATATACCAAAGTGCCTATATCAAAGTCGATATTATGATAGCATATTATAATAAATGGAATCTAAAATATTATGATTAGGTTGGTATTTAGATAAATGACATAATATAATATATCAATATTATTGTACTACGCACAGAATGATGTTTCCTAGGCATTTGAAATTGTAAGATCCTCGATTATGATTGTTATTAATAAATTGATGTGACCGTATTTTAATCATTACCGAAGTATATTTAATATTTTAGGTAAATGTGTAGCTGCTATATATAGAAGAAAAATGATTTAGAATTTGTTTCATCAAACACAACCATTACACCTGTATAATAATAGGTACTAAATATTGTGTGGCACGCCGAAGAGGGTGGTTCCGGGTTTAGACCCCCCACCTTGCAGATTAGTACCTATACTTTGTTCGGTAATAAGAAAATTTAAATTAACTTTTTTTATTTTATGAACCTATACGGTAATAAATAATTGCTATAATGTTTTATCATCATTTATATATTAAGATATTAAAATGCAAATTGATGATAAAAAAAATTAATGAAAATAAATATTTCTTAATTGAACCCACCACAGAAAACATCCCGTCACTGATGATCAATCATTATATTAGAGCTACCACAGTATCACTATTACAAAAGTTGTAGCAGCTATTGGTTAACATGGTCTGAGAAAATCTAAGCGAAATTGCTTCTTTCAGTGTTTAATGATTATAACTTGTTACATTGAATCGTGCTGTCTAAAATTATGTATTCCGCTCACTTGAAAGTCGTTTCGCGTAGATTTTTTCATCGACAGACACCCTCGCAGATTAGCTCACACAGCAAGATGTTTTATTTGACTCAATTTTAAAACTAACGACGAGATTCATGACGATTTCGAAAAGTCTATTTATCGTAGGTACACACACGGAATTTGAGAAAAGGATTAAGTTGTTCGGGCACATAATAATAATAATCACTAACAAGTAACAGCGATATTACACCGAGTTCGATCAACACTTCTCCACTTCACCCACCCATAACCTATGGCACGCGGTCTTCGTCGTGTGCGTGCACTGAAAACCCATTGGTTTTGGGCGTTTTTCGTGCACGCCGGTCTGTAATTATAATGTCCGCGCGTTGCCCACGTCGTCGTTTCGCGGCGATTTTACTCGTTTCGAAAGTATCGCATTATCGCGACGTCTCCGGACGATATCGGGAACTGAAACAGCCAATAAGGTCTGTTATTAGAGCCGACTGCCGAACGAAATGTCGTCGTAATTGGACGTCTGTACGAGATATAATGTATGTTATAATATTATGTTATTATAATAATATTTGCCGACAAAACAATCATATTATCCTAACCCGAAAAAATGTCTAGTAATAATTTATATGGGAGTAGGTACGAAATGTTTTATTTCCATTAGAAAACCGGTTGTGAGGCTTATAAGCACGTCATATAATATAATATGATTGATTATGGTCAGGTGATTTTATCTACAAACAAGAGGATGACTACTGAGGTCTTATTTATTTCCTATAATTTATTTACGACTCGTGCGTATATTTACGTTTTCGGTATGATAATATTATTATTATGTAAACATTAATAAGCTGATTTTTTTTTTGACGCACAACACTCTGCTGGTGCCTAATAATAATATAATGTATAAAGTATATTATTCCCAAAGATAACTAATTACTTAAAAGTTTATATTTTTTTAAAACCTTTATTACTTAACTAATTATTTAATTCTGTAATTAACCTAATTACTGAATTAGATTAATTGGCCATTGTAATAAGTCAGATTTTTTCAGTATGTTTATTCAATCTAAAATTGTAGATGAAAATATTTTTAGTTTAACCACGCTGACAATAATTTGACCAAAAACCTAACTAAGTAAACAAACAAATGAGTTGCCGGTAGACACAAATATATAATTTGCCTAAACAATTGCAGTAACAGAAAAAAATAGCAGGATACATTTATAAAAAAAATTGTGAGATATTTAAAAAATATGAAAGTTGCTCAATCACTATATTATTACTCAAGTGGTGGCGATTAAAAATCCTAATCAATTTAACTTCTTTTAACTTCTTTCAACTTGTGAAGTTAAAAGACAGTTTACTTTTTCCCCATATTAACTTTTTTTTTTTAGTAATTTTTTACAGTTTATATTAATCACAAATCATTTAAAATGAAGTGCAGTCCAAATTTAAAAAAAATGCTTATAACTTTGTCTTCACCACGCAATTTCACAATAATTTTGCACAGTCAAATCTTTCAGTACAAACATTTTTGTTTTTT